CACCCCGCCTGTAGCACTGAGGCAACTAACTTCTGTGGATAACGTGACAAAGATTGAAAGGCTGGATTAAGAGAAGAGGTGGGATTTTAACCCTTCATACATATGGCTCTGTTATAAAGGTGCTTCAAGCCTCTCAGCTCACAGTAAAAGCTGAACACAAAGCCTCAGCAGCAGTGACAGTGAAATACCTCCGCTGCTTTCCTGATCCTTGTAAGTATTGTGTGTTGACTTGATCTTAATTTGGCGGATTGCTCTTTTGTTTATTCGCTTCTGTCCAAAGGATGCATCATTAACCATGCTCTTCTTTCTTTCTTGTCCAGGTTGAAATGGCTGCTGAGAACTTTACCTCGGGTCCCACCGAAGCCCCTCCGAACGGCAGCAGCTGTGACGTCTTCGTCTACCAGAGGGCCGCGGTGGTCCTCTTCCCTATTTTCTACTCCGTCGTTTTTATCATCAGCGTGTGTGGGAACTGCCTGGTGCTCTGTGTCATCTGCCAGAGGAAGCAGAAGTTCAACTCCACGTCGATCTACTTGGTGAACCTCGCGCTGTCCGACGCTCTTTTCACGCTGGCGTTGCCAGGCAGAATCACCTACTATATCCGTCACTTTGACTGGCCCTTCGGTGACCTCCTCTGCAGACTCACCACGCTTCTCTTCTTTGCAAACACATATGCAGGTAACAACACGGAGCTCCACGCGTCTTTACACCACAAGAGGTTACTTTGTTTTTATGTTAAAGTGGCGCAGCTGTAGGACCAAATTAAAGGGACTAGATTGCAAAACTGCTTCTGTAGGTGGTTGTTTCTAATCCGATGCCAATCCTCTCCATTTCCAACAGGCATCGGCTTCATGACCTGCATCAGCCTGGACAGGTACCTCGCCATGGTGCATCCTCACCGCCTGCAGTGCTTACGCAGCACGAAAGTTGTCCGCAGGGTCTGCTGCCTGGTCTGGTTTCTGGTATCCCTGGAGGTCTCCCCGCTGTTATTCCGCAGCATGCTGCACGTGAGGGGCGACAAGCGGACCTGCATGGAGTACTTTAACTTCGAGGGCTCTCGTCACACCCCTTACCTCTTACTCCTGGCGTGCTTCATCTCGTTTTGCTGCCCGCTCACGGTCATAATGGCGTGCTACTCTAGGATCAATCTGAAACTGCGGGATGCGGCCAAGAAGAACTCTATGACGGGGCGAACGAGCCGAAACCACAGGGCCAACACCATCATCCTCCTCATCCTCCTCACGTTTGTCCTCTGCTTCAGCCCGTACCACCTCAACATAATGCAGTTCATGTTCAGAAAGATCAGCCATCAGCCGACTTGTGAGGAACTCACAGCCTTTAAGATGTCCTTGCAGGTAAGAGGCATACTCTCAGTTGACGTCATACGTTCCTCTATTTTGTTTGTTTGTTTGTTTGCTTGTTTGTTTGTTTTCTCCTTTGTTGTAATCAATTCTCACAATCCAATCCACAGATCACGGTCTCGTTAATGAACATCAACTGCTGCCTGGATCCCGTCATCTACTTCTTTGCCATAAAGACGTACAAGAAGCGAGTGATGAGCCTGTTTAAGGACTATCTGTATACTTCCGCCGCCTCCTCCAAAGTGACAGCCGAGAATAGCAGCAGCAACACCTGAGCCAAACCACAGAGAGAAACCGAGCTTAAGGGGTTATAAAAAGACCCGCTTTCTCTCACCTGATGAAGCTGTTTCTGCAAATGACTTTGGTGGCGGACTTTATGTTCAGGGTCAGCATTAATGGTCTCAGTTTAGCTGCATTACATATTGCCTTTCCAATAATGCTATGGATTTTTGGTACAGTCGACCATGTGATAAGTATATTGTCTCAACTCCAGTTGTTTATATATATATATATATATATATATATATATATATATATATATATATATATATATATATATATGTGTGTGTGTGTGTGTGTGTGTGTGTGTGTGTGTGTGTGTTTTTTTTTTTTTATACAAAAGTCACAAATGATAAACCAGTAGTAGTAGTAGTAGTAGTAGTAGTAGTAGTAGTAGTAGTAGTGGAAAGATGAAGTATATTTGTTTTCTGTGTTCATAGTTTGATGAAGCGCAGAATGAATAAACTATCATTTCATGTAATGATTATTATAATAATATGTTGTTTTTTTTATTGTAGCAATTTTGGGATTGCTTGGTGTCAATGAAAGAACGCATGCGCTAGACTTTCCAAATGTAAGCTCTACTAAAATCAAGGCCAATGTGCGTCGCAGCAGCTTAAGCACGATGGCAAAAACCTAACAATATTCATGAAATTTGCCAAAATGAGAACATGTTGCGTTTCTCTTTGCCGCCCACATTTGTCTTCTGCGTAGGAGTACGTAGATGAAAATCACCACTTCCTCACCCACCTTTCCTGCTCCCCCGACTCAGGGGCCTCATTCCTGCTGCCTTCCACATCTTGCGGTGAGGCTTTGGTGTGCGTGTGGGTCTAGCAACCATGCGCAGGTGTACTCTTTGTTTCGAGCAAGTCCCATGTTTAAACATAACCTTTAGCACTTCCTGTGTTTTTTGGAAAAGAAGCCCGATAGGTTTGCATAAAACTGTTATGAAGAAATTGTGTAATATGCAAAGATTGAAGCAGTTATTGTGCAATTATGTCACAAGGGAAAACATGTGGGTTACGTACTTTTTTTTTTAGTTTTTAGATATGTTTATAATTAATTACTAAACATTAAACAAGACATGAATCAAAATGATGTGGTTTATTCGGATTTTTATTCATTATTAAACATTATACTCAGAAATTCTTTAGAAAAAAAAGTTGTCATATATTAGATGCTAAAATGGAAATGTTATCTGCACTTTGTAGATATACGATGAAAGGGACAAAAAAAGCAGCTATGAATTCTTGTAATCTATTCAATAAATCAGGAAGTGAAACATTCCATAAACTAAACAGAAAATCATCATGTTCTGCTTTAACAAGAACCAAACAACAACACATCACCTTCCAGACAAAAATAATTCATACCACAGGCAGATTTATTTTTGTATTATCTTCTACTTTGACCAAATCTGACAGGAAATAATATAACGTTTTGGAGTGACCTACCCAGGGTCATCACTCAGATTTCACAGAGAATTATTATAATTGTTTTTTTCTCTCTGAAGTCAGTGTCAGGTTAAATTTATTAGCTCCATATTTTATTACAGTAGCATAATCATATGCTGCAAGAGGTAGAAGTATCCAATATTCAACTAGAGGACATTTAATCTGTGGATGAAAAAAAAAAAATCCCACATTATAAAATTACAGTATTGTGTAGAATCACTACATCGATATTCAGGCTCTCCACATCCTGAATATCGCCTGTCTTTAAGTCTACAAAAACTCAAACTGCCTTTATTACATTCAACAAAAACAAGAAAAAGTGGAAGAGATGCGTGTTAAAAACCGAGTCCACCGTAATAAGTTTCTTTGACGGCTCAAGCAGTTTTCTTGTCTGGAGTCTTCGGCCGCCAACACGAACACAGGGCAGGAGGGCGTCAGTGTTGACTTCTGTTTTGGCTACCCATCAATCACATCAGGGTTTGAGACACTCTGTGATGTCCCTCCTTCACGCGCATCTTCAGTGGCGGCTGAAACACAACAGATGAAAAGGAAAAGTTTCAAGATCTTGCAGTGGCCTAGTTAAAGTTCGCACCTCAGCTTGATTCTAAAGCCGTCTCTTAGCGAAAACCCGCAATCTTCAAAGAACAGACGGCACGTTGAAAAGCAAAGCGGTCTAAAATTTATCCACATGACGTAAATCAGAAGATGGCATGGAGACGGTGACTAATTTAAGCACTTTTATTGCTGGAGGTGGTTATTCTATGGCTATTGAGTCACTGGGTGTAGATAGCTTTCCTTACACATTTTGGTCATCTTTAGTTATTTATTTATTGGTTGGAGGATGTTTTTGTAAATCTAAGGTGAAATTAAAACTGTGGTAGCGCCTGGTAAAAATCAAACCATGTGTTTAAAACGGGACAGATTTATCATTACAGTGACTGTTTAAGCTTTTTAAAACAACGTGACGTCAAAAGCACATATAGATGACGTATAGATGGTGACGTAAGACAGGAATAACCCAATTCTGACCTGAATGTGAGACGAGGTGACGTAGCTCAGAGACTATAGATCTTAGTTGGAGATGTATCAACTAACTCAACTCAACCCCAATGACACATTTACTGGTGACTAAGAAAGCCGTCGATGCTAAATAGCATGGTTTCGTGAAACATTTTTACTGGCTATGCTAAAATAAAAAATACATTTAAAAAAATGTAGACGTGGCCAAATAATGCTGTATTTTTCATCTTAGATAACGAAATGAGTCAGTTTTATTACATCAGTTTGGAGAAAAGGTTAACAACTTCTGTTAGATGAAACAGATGTGTTGCCTCATGTTAGAGATAGGTTTAGGTGAAATGTCGTATTACCCTCCACCCCACCACACTCCATCCACTTACTCATATGTTTAGTCCATTGGCATGAATGTTGGCGGTGGGGCTTCTGAAATGAGTTGTGATGTGCAGGGGACATATCGTTTCTTCACTGCGTCAGAAACAAAGAGTTAGTTTACTGTTCTGATAAATGCACCAATATCAGACCGATCAGAGTAACCAGAATGGGGAAAGCACTGGGTTGTAGAAATCCAAAAAAAATGTAGCGGTTCAAGCCAACAGTTTTATCGAGCTTTAATAAATAATAGAAGTTCATTTTGGGCTTTCCTGTTTAGGCTCCCTGTTAGTTTCAGTCTCCAGAAACAGCTGACACGATGGTAGGTTAAATAAAGCTGCTGACAGATGAATCAACTGCAGCTAATCTATTCCCTGTTTATCATATTTAATACAAGCCAATTTCATCATTTCTGGGCTATCTTTTTCAAGAACAAGGGATGGTGTGGTGATAAACGTTTGGGTTACCGTAGTTGTGGGCGAGGTTTTTTTCTACCTCACTCACAACATCAGTAATTCACTATCAGTATCTTTGTTTTTCTACAATGATCCCATATGGGTGTCCTTCCATCATTTTGTTAACAATCATTATTTTCTTAAAAGGAAAACAAACTGAATTATCTAAACAAAATGAACATGAAAAACCTTTACTAAATTTATGTTGGGGTTTTTTGTTATTATTATTGTTTGACTCATAATTATTTAATTTATTTCAACTTTAAAAATCTACCTAACTGTCTGAAAAACCAAGCCTCCTCCCATCCTAGTAATTGTTTTTTTTGTGTGTGTTTTTTGGATCTAACAACTGCAGTCAAGATTTTGCAACAACTGGCATAAAGTCTTTTACATCACTGTGCAGACTGTTTGCCCACTCTTCCTGGCAGAATGGTTTTAATTCATCCATAATGAGGTGTTTTTGTGCATGGGTGATCTCTTCAAAGTTATACAACAATAACTGGTATGCATTTAAGTCCAGACTTTGATTAGACCACTCGGTAACACTTTATTTGAAGGGGGTTGAATAAGACTGACATAACACTGTCATAAACATGACATATCACATGTCATGAACATGAATAAGCCTTCATGAATATTTATGACTGTTGTCATAAAGTGTCATTCGATAAATTATGACACTTTTAATACAAAGTTGACATTATTCAAAATGTCTTTATTCAAAATCATTACTGTTTAAACTTTACCTTTAATAACATAAAGTTACCTAATTTTTAAAGTGCAATCAGTAATACTTTTATAACAAATTTATATCAGTAATGATTTCTTGGTTAATGTCAAGTTGTCATAACAAAGACATTTTGAATAATGTCAACTTTGTATTAAAAGTGTCATAATTTACCGAATGACGCTTTATGACAACAGTTATAACTATTCATGAAGGCTTATTCATGTTCATGACAGGTGTTATGTCATGTTTATGATGGTGTCATGTCAGTCTTATTCACCCCCCTTCAAATAAAGTGTTACCGACCACTCAAAAAAAAACAAAAAAAAAACCCTGTGTTGAACCAAATCATTGTGCAAAATCAAATCAATCTTCAGTTTAAGCTGAAGCTGGTGGTCAGAACAGAGCCTTCAGTGTATTCTGCATTCTGCCAGGAAGTAGAATTCATTGTTACATCAATTACTGCAAATCATCTAGGTCATGAAGAAGTATGTAAACCCATCTCACATCATGACACTGTACCACCACAATGCTTGGCTGTTGCTGTGTTGTTGTTTTCCAGAAGTGCTGTGCTAGTTTTAGTCCAGCTGTAACATGATGCACATAGATCTACTTCTGTTTCACCAGTTTTACACAGTAGCTTTTGAAAAGTTCTTCGGCATTACCAACTTGTGTGTTGGTCAAACATGAAGCAGTCCTTACTGACCTCCTTGGTCAGCAGCTCTTATTATTCAACCATGGAGTCAAGAGCCGTCTTCAATGATTTAAATGTTCTGGTCTCTTTTTTTCCCCCTTGAAATAATTTCGCCACTGTTTTATGTTCTCTGCATTCGCGGATATTGTTCTCGCTTTGACTTCGTGATCATTGATTTGTTTTTGATCTGTCATTTAATTTCCTTAGAGTGTTTCTCTTACCCACTTCCTGTCATTAGGCAGACTCTGTTTCAGTGTTTTTTTCAGGTTTTTCTACAGGTCTCACAACAACGTGTTCATAGTGAAACTGAACAAAATAAATGCCATCAGTCACTGCTAACTAATTTTTTTTACAGGTGGGGCTGTCAGACTTTTACATTAGAGTAGATTGGTTTCTACGTCTTTTTTTCATTTGAAAATCACATTTTAAATTTATTCAGATTATCATTATGGGATGTATGTTACAAAAAAAGCACAGCACGGTATAAACAGATAATAAACAGAACTATATGGTGAAACTG